AATTATCAAATTATTGTATCAATTTTTGATTAACATTGTATTAATAAGTCCTTTTTTTTTTGTTAAAATAATTTTTAAATATTGAAAATTTTTTAATTTTTAAATACAAAATAATGATAATTCAGTGATAATAATTCAATTCAATTCATAAAAGTATGCAATTTTTCATTAATATTTCTTTATGACGTTATCAGACAGACAACCAATTTTTTTTATTTATTTATTTGATTTATTTAGTTGGACATGGATATCAAAAACTTATCCTGAAAAGAAGAATAACTGATATTTTAGCCTAATTTAAATGACCAACAGATATTACTTAATATATAATTACTCCCCTGAAAACTTTATCAAGTATTATTGTTCAAAATGTATTACTGGCTACTTGTAGCAGGCTTTGTTGTTGCTATTGTTATTATTGTGCTTGTAATAAATCCGTTAAATAGGGATAATAATATCAAACAAAGTGGAGAAACTAAAAAAGAAGCAATTGTCCCGGATAGTGTAAAGCCTAAAAAAGAAAATCAGCCGGTAATTGAAAAACATATTGATTTAACAACTATTTGAACATAAAGATAAAGCAAAAGATGAAGAAGACAGCAGCCAAATTCCTGACGAATACAAAATCGGTAAAATTTCGGTAGCTAATTTAAACATTATAATAGATCATATTAAAAAATTGAATAATAAGACGGATAAAGTAATAACCGATTTCATCGCCAATTTCTCCACGATGGGTACTACATACAAGGACAAGAAATTGACCAAATTCAATGTAAAAAGTCTGGACCACGTTAATTGGGTGATATCAAACTGCATAAATGTTTTGAGCTACTACGCTAAATCCGATCCCACTAATGACTTCTAAAAAAAGTACGCTGAGTTGATAATTACTGAGGGCAACAATTTTCTGCCAAATGCGCTTCCGCTTACGGCTGAAACAAATTTCGAGCTTTTCTTATCTTATCTCAAGCTATTGTCGATGTACGAGTGTTTGTTTGAAAACAACTCGGAAACTCGATCGGAATAAAAATACTTCAATCTGTCATAATAGTATTGTAATGCTGGTACCGGAATGGAACAAATTCTTCCTGATTGATATTAAAGGATTTGATATTGTGAAGATCAATGTCCCGCGATTTTTAACTAATTATTTGTACGACTATCCGAAGTTTGCAAAAGACAAACGTGAGTATGATAACGTTATCGCCGGAGTTATTGATGATTACAATAGAAGCTCTGAAAAGAATGACTCAAACGATTACTTCCTAAGTGTGTATAATGCTTTGGTTTTTCAGTAATTGATATAGTTATCAGTTAGATATTGATTAATTTGTCGATTAAAATGTCGTGCCTTTGTGACAAAAATCGCGTTATTTTTATTTTAGCTAATTTAATCAAGATAATTTAGAAGGATATAGTGATGATGTATTTTGTAATTAAGATATCTGGAGATTTTTTTTGGCTTATATATTTCGGCTGCCCAATTTCAAAACACAGTAACTAAAATTTCAAATTTTTTTCCAATTTTTCTCATTAAAAAAAATTTTACCCGCCAAATTGATGAACAATTTGATTTATGAATAGAAAATACTTGAATATAAATAATTTTAAGAAAAAATACTTGAAATTAAGGTCTAAAAGTTATAAAAAATGCAGCAATACTACAAAAAATCAGGTATAAAAATTTTGCAGTTACTGTGTTTTAAAATTGGACAGCCGATTTATCCTCGCATGTTTTGCAATGATCGCTACTTGTTAAAACATTCTTTGATACGACCAATTTTCATTTCTATCCATAAATCGCTTGATTTTTTTATATATGGCCATATCAGTTTGTACACTAATAGAAAAACAATCTTGATTCAAGAAACTTTTTTTCTTAAAAACTTGAAGTCTTGAAACTAGATATAGATATATATTTCTTTCAAGAATTTTTGTCTCTTGGTTCAAGATAGGCGATAACATTGATTCAAGATGTTACCGACTTGTGTTAAGAATGGCTTTTTTTTTTGAGTCATTAATTAATTTACTTATTTCCAAGAAATAATTTTTTTTTTTTTTGTATAAAAATTAAACACTATTTAGTTTTTGAAATATACTTTGATGAATTATTTTAAGTTTTTTAAACGATAATATTATTTTGATTGAAAAACTTAAATGTATCGATTGAAGATAATATAGTTCTTAAGCCAAGAAAATCTAAATCAAGACAAGAAATTCTTAAAGCAAAATAATCATTTGCTTCCAAAATAAATTCTCAGATCAAGAAAATATCTCTTGAGTCAACATAAATTTTCTATCAGTGTATATGAGAATAAAAAAATAATTTTTTCATCTTTTATTGAGTTTATTTAGTAAGAAAGATTCTTATAATGTCAATTCATGAAAATAAAATTTTAAAGCGAGGACTTTTGTAGTAATTTATAAATAAAAATGAAAATAATTGGATTTGTAATATTTATAGTTGCATTAGCTATTATTGGTTTCGGTATATATTACAGTGAAACCCAACACAAAAATAAAGAAGCTGATGGTGAAAATTCTGGCAGTAATGGCTCTGAAAAAACTTTAGGAGGTAATGCAGGAGTAAACCAAGAAGAAAGTCTACTTAATCCTGACAAACCGAGTCAAAATTTTTCTGGTTCTACAGAACCAACTATTCAAGGCAACATAGTACCAGTTTCTCCTCAACAACTCGAAAAACCGGATGCTCATAATATTTCTGAAGATAGTAGGCAACGTATCATCGAATATATAAAGCACACAGATACTAAAACTGATTATTCACAATTACCTTATATGATTAAATTTTCAAAAAATCCGGATAAAAATAAGCAACAAATTATTATACTGATAAAAAAAGACCCCTTAACTTACATCACTAGTATGGGTATAGCTGCTAGTAATACATTGCGCTACTATGCGATTCCAGATTCTTATCATAAAAAAGACATTTTCAAAAACTTTGTTTGTGAAGTGATAAAAGCTCTCAACACTTATGCCATACCAAACGTTACAACAGAAATAAAGTGGATCAATAATTCAATTAAAAATTATCTTAGATTATTGTCGATGTACGAATGTTTGATTGAGTGTCAATCGAAAACACTTCATAAAAGTGATTCTATCTGTCATGATGCAATTGTCAAACTAGTTCCACAATGGAATTATTTGCTAGGGCAACAATTTACTGGAATTCAATATGTGCAGGTTAATGTTCCAAGATTATTGACTAATTATTTGTATGATCACCAGAAATTTATCGAGGAACAAACTTTGCACGGTAGTGAAATCAATCGGGTCTTCGAGAGTAACAGTCCAACAGATAACAATTTTTATGATTACTTCAAGAGTGTTTATGATGCTTTGACTAATCATCAGGCAGGAACTGTTCTTCCTAAAGGACCCAACGTATTGAATGTTAACATTCCAAATCCTTCCGACGACGTGAATATCGGAAGTGGAAATAATGCTACTGGTCGGTCTGAAATTCAATATAGTCCTGATGGAAAGAGTCAAATTCTTCCTGGTTCTACAAAATCACCAAGTCAAACTGGAGAACCCGCAGTTCTTCCTCAAGAAGAAACAGAACACAACGTCAATCAACAAACCGTTCTTTATTCTAATATTTCTGAACGTAATAGAGCTCCAATAATCTCTCAGATGGTCAATCATAAAGATCAAACTGATTATCATTCAAAAACTTCTATCATAACTATATTTTCAAGGGACCAAATGACTTGGATAAACAACTTCAATGAAATCATCAGTAACATGGAAATAAGCAGGATTTTTTCCATACTAACAACGGCTACAAATGTTTTGCGTTACTGTGCAAGAAACCCTTCTAGTTCTGCAAATGAAACATTGAAACAATTTGTACGAGAAATAATAATTACGATGAATAATAATGCTTTACCTAGAATAAATTATAACAATAGAAGCATATTCTTACTATTTAAGCAGTATTTAATACTGCTGTCGATGTACGAATGTTTGGTGGAATGTGACCCTAATAATTATCGAAAAAGTAATTCAATTTGTCATGATGCAATTATCACAATGGTGCCACAATGGAATCATTTTCTGAAGCGAAAATTTACTGGAATGGATTTTGTGAAGGTTAATGTTTCAAGATTATTGACTAATTACTTGTATGATCACCAGAAATTTGTTGATGATAAAACATTGCACTGTAGTGAAATTTTTGAAGTGATCACGAGTCCCACGGTGGCAAATGACGACTTGTATAATTATTTTTATAACATTTTTTATGCTCTAAATTCTGAAGGGTGATTCAGATTACTACTTACTAAAAAATTTTGACTTAGAATTACAACAAAAAAAATTTTTTTTCTGCACAATAACTTTTTTACAAATATGCTGAAAAATTACATATTAGAATACAATTGATCATGTAATTACTGAGTAGTATTCCTGGTTAAAGAAGAGAATTAAAAAGGATTAAAAATTGAATTCATCATTTTTAATTCTTGTTGGAGAATTAAATGGAATTAAAAAAAATTCACCATTACAAGCTTTTTATTCTATTTATTCCTACATGAAGAATTAAGTAGGATTAAATAGCATTGCAAATAGGAGATATTCAATACTTTTGAATTCTCTGCAGAGAATTAAATACTATTAGAAAATATTTACATTCAGAAATTTCCAGTACGCATGAGGAGTTGTTAAAATTTGGACAAAAACTTTCTAAATAAAACAAAAATAGCCTTAACTGATAAATTAATACCGACTATAGACATAAACTAAAAAATACAAACAAAACAAATTTTTAAACTCATAATTTTATTATAATGATTATTCTACTATTTTTTTGCTTTTTGTTGGACATTTTTAATCCTTCATTAAATTTTTAAATCATTCAACATTTCTTTATTTTTATTTTCATCGATAATTTTAAATCATGACTCAGTGAAAAAGTATGCTTCATTTTGGAGTGATGATCTAAAGATTTTTTTTCTATAAAATGTTTATTACATTAACTAAATAAATATACTTTATTTTTCTTTTGCTTTTGAAGAGAAGATACTAATCTTTTTATTTTGCGAAATTTTTTGTCATCACACTTGCTATATTTATAACCATTTAGAATTGTTTTATGTATGACTTCATGATTGGTAAGTTGTTCTATAAAATAGTAAAATTATTAATAGACAGTACGCGAATAAAAATTTATGATAAAACTTAATACTTATACCTATAGAATTTATAGATTTATCATGCTTGGAACTTTTACGTTTTTGCAATTTACAAATAGACTGGCTGTGGCATTGAAAAGCTTCCAGCCTTTGAAATTCGCGAGAACAAACCGTGCATTTGTATCCTTTACTTTCAGGATGTAATTTCATATGTTTTTTTAATTCTTTCTTTAATGAGTTTTTATAATTGCAATACTGACATTCATATATTATTACACCGAAAAGCTCATCACTTTCTTCCATTTCTAAATTAACCTGATGATAATAAAAAATTTCAAATTATTAAAATTGATTTAAAGAAATTAATAAATATTTGATTGGAATTCATATACATTGTGCATGGTAATCTTTTCAATTTTTTATTTATTTTTCGAATCAAATTTAATTTAAAATTATGAGAAAAAAATATTTATATGTTACCTGCTTTTCTTTATTTTCATCAAATATTAATCCAAAAACATTATCAACAGTTGTATCTTCAAACACTTGATTTTTCTCGTTAATAAAGTTAATTTTTTTTTTTATGAGCAATATTTCCATCTTTAATAAAAAAAAAAAAAAATTCATTAGTATCAGTAAATATTATACTGAAATTAATTGACACCTTATTATTTTATAATTTTATTTTTAATGAATAAATATTATGAAAATAAAATTACCAGACATCTGACAATTTTTAGAATTTTTCTTATTGACAAAATTGTTACAAAAAAAATTAAAATAAAAATTCCACATCTTGAAAATTTGAGAAACTATAAGTGCAATTTTTGAAAAATATTGTTTAGTTATAATTTAATTAATGAAAAAATTTCCAAACGTCTGCTGATTTCAGTACTTATAAAATATTTTTCAAAAATTGCATTCTCAGTTTTTTTTTAAATTCTACTCCATGAGTAAAGTCTTTTTTATAATTTTTTTTGCTAAAAAAAATTTTATTTTTAAAAAACTTAAAGTGCAATTTTTATAAATTATTTTTTTGTTTCAATTTAATAAATGAAAAAAAAATTAAAAACGACGGCTAACTTTAGTATTATAAATTAATATACTTATAAAAAAAAAAAAACTTACGTTTTAATTCCGCTAATCTTTGGTTCACTTCTTCCAGTAAGAACTCGAAATACTTTTTCATTTTTTGAATACTTTTCATATCTTGGAGATCTTCGAATTCCCAATCGAAATTCATGTTTAATTAATATAAATAAATAATTATTCAAAAAATTTTAATTAGTAACAAGAATTATTATTTATGTATTTATCAGCGCGATTAAGTTGAGAAGAGAGTTAATGACGGAAATGCTTGCTCATGACAGTTTAAATTTTTAAGCTTGTACACAATAGACAATATTGAACTATACATGAATAAATAATGACAAAATTTGATATTGAAGAATTAAGCGTCCCCTTTTTAAAACCAAAATTTTAATTGCAATAAAATTCAATAACTATATATAAAAAATATTAATTTTATACTTATAGTTTTAATTAATAAAACTTTTATTTAAACTTAAAATGCACTTTTCGGTATTTTGTATTTATTTAAATTAAATATAGCTTAAATTATTATAAAAATCAATTGGTAGGTGAATTAATTAAATCAATTTAAAATATTGCAATTTTTATTATTATGTTGGTAACATTGAATTTAAAATTACTTGGATAATTTTTTTAATTATTACGTTAGAAATAAACTAAATAAATAAATTATAGAGATAAAACGCCCATATTCAAAATTTATTTTTTTAATATAAATAATTTACATAAAAAAATATTTTATTGCTCAAGTATCTTGTATGTAAGGTAAAAGACCCAGTTATTGACACTGGCCTAGTTATTGACACTTGCAATTTTATTTTAATTAAAAAAAAAAAAAAAACAAATCATCTCTAATAAATTAATAAATATAGTTTTTGAATTATAAATTTTAATAAAATTAGTTTTTTGAGAACATTTAATTTTAGTAATTAGAATAAAATTCCAAGTGTCAAACAACTAGGCCAGTGTCAATAACTGGGTCGTTTATCTTAGGTAAAAATAAATAATACCATAATTGACTTAAAAATAAAATTTATCTTAATTTTTTAATTTTCTCCAGGCGTCACCAAATAATCTTATTTCTGTGCAATTTTCGAGCTAAAATTTCAGAAATTAAAATTCATAATTTATATCTTATAATTTAAGAAATTTACTAATTGTTGTATAATGCCAATCGGCGTTCAAATGAATAAATAAATAAATAAATAAGTAAAATATACATTTCAGTAAAAATATTTATTAACAAAACAATATATAAAAGTAAATCATACTTTCCACTAATTACAATTACTGATTACAAATCTATAAAAACAATAATTTTTTCATTAAATAAATCAATAACTTACAATTAAAGGTAACAAGCTATTAATAATAATCAGTTGATCTAGTAACGGTATGAAGCTTACAAATACGAACTTTATAAACAAAGAGTATTTTAATGATTTAATTTCTCTACTCAAATTTTAAAATTAAATATTTAACAAATTTATAAATTATAAACCAGAAGCTGAAGATCAAATTATCTTGAATTAATTCTATTTTTAATAATAAAGTTTATATTAAACCATTATAAAGTTCAAGTGGAATATCGTTACTAGGAATTCTTATTGAAACCTTGTTAAATATTAATTTATAATAAATTTCTATGTTTGTGTCGAAAATGAATTATGAGCCTTTTCTTTTCTTCAAATGAAATACCACATTCATTACAAATTACCAAGTTAGAATCTATGTGCTTGTTAAGATGTTCATTGAAATCAAATGCAGATAATGCAGTAAAAAGACAAAATTTACATTTGTAAGTGCGTTTATTACTCGCTTTTTTGGAAACGTTTCTATGATCAGCTTGATGTCGTTTCAAGTGTTCTGGTCGAATAAATTTTAATTTGCATACATTACATTCATATAATTTGTCACCAGTGTGACTCGTTTTGTGCCGTTTTAAACTATACAAGCGATCAAATTTTTCAGGACAAAGATTGCAAGAATATTTTTTTTCTTTAAAGTGAGTAAGTTGGTGTCGTTTTAAGTGATACATTTGAACAAATCCAAGCTGACAAATATCACATTTATAAGGCTTATTACCGGTATGCCGATTAATATGATTTATAAGATGAGTCTTGCGAAAGAACTCTTTTTTACAATAATCGCACTCGAGACTGTTCTCTTTAGTATGACGGCGCATATGCCGTTTCAGATACTGTGGACGAAAGAAACCAAGATGACAAATTTCACAAATATGTTCTGGAGACCCAGTGTGCTTTAACATATGAAAGTCAAGACTTCTTTGATATATAGTTTTAAATGAACACTGAGAACACTTTAATGATTCTCCCGTATGTTTCTTTACGTGTTCCTTTATGTGCATTGGTCTGGTTGTCGTATAGTTACAGTGAACACATTTGTAAGGCTTTCCATCATGGCGATACATATGAGTTTTTAAAGTGTTTTTATCTGAAGTAGTGAATCCACAATACGCGCAATGAAATGAACGGCAAGAATTTTGCTCTTTTTCAATTAAATTACACGTTCTACAATTCTCGTCATCCTCTGTTGATTTTGGTATTGGTGGCTCTTCTGTAAGCAAAAAAAAAAAAATTATTTATCATTAGATTGATTTTTTTTTTAAGTGAAACTTCTTTATTGACGTATGAGAGAAATTTTATAATGTAAAAAAAATCGTCACGATTTTCGATTAAGCGCCATGTTGTTTTTTTTTTTTTATAAAAATTTAATTAGCAATGTAAAGAATAAATCTAGTAAAGATTATTAATTCTAAAAACAAATTAAATAATAATTTAAAAATAAAACAAAACACAATTAGAAAATAATAATATGTATACATACATTTTTTTTTAATTATTCGTTTCTAATGATTTATTTATTAATTTTGAATTCTATAAAATCATTGTATGTCTACAAGATTTTACTGTCATCATATAATTACTTTAAATAGATAATTTCAATTATTTACTTATAACTTGTGTAATTGAGTAAGTTATTAAATATCTGCTTTGAATTATTTTTACTAAGTTATGACATGGAATATGAATATTAAAGTTCGTTATATAATTTTTGTCAACTGATTAATTAATTTTCAGATTAAATAATGGCAGAGTCTAAATAATGACAACAATGGTAATTACGATGCGATCATAATTGATGAAGTACAATAATTATAATAAGAGCAATGATGAAATTAATTACTTATATTATTTGTATGCATGGCTATTATACTAAAATGGCTTTAATTTAATTTTTTTTCTTAAGCCTCATCTATCCAATTTTTGTGAAGTTGTAAATAGTAAAAAAATGATATGTCATAAACAGCACAAGTACTTACTTTTTAAATCATCGCTTTCAATTTTTTTTGGAGTATTATTCAAATCTTTACTTCCAATTTTGATAGGTTTTGTTAAAAATTTAAGCTTCTTTCTGGGTATTGCAATTTTTCGGAGTAAAATAATGGATGAATTTTTTTTTTGGACATTTATCTTAGATCCAGTTGTGGTTAAGATTTCTTTATGTGGTTTATCGGACACTTCTTTGACTTTCTTATTTAATAAACAATTTTCAATCATATTCTTTTCACTGAATTCACTTCTCACCCTTATGGAGAATGGTTTTTGTACATCATTAGTTTTATTGGTTTCAGCATTTTCGTTGGATAAATTATTTTGTTCGCTCAGCGGATCCTCAGTTTTTATTTTTAGAGGTTTGAGTAAATTTAAATTATCGTGACAAATCATTTTTTTTGAAAATAAATTATCATTATTTAAATCTGAATATTTAATTTTTGTATTTTTGGTTCGGAGAATTTTTTTCTTCATTTCTGTAAAAAAAAATTTATAAAAATGTATTAAAGATATTTATAATTTTTAATGGAATAAATCATTTATAATATTGTTAATAATACTAAAGTTAGCCGACGTTTATAATTTTTTAATTTTTTTCCATTTATTAATTTGGAACAAAAAAATATTTTTTTTAAATTACACTTAAAGTTTTTCAAGTTTTTTACAAATGAAATTTTTTTAATAAATAAAATTTTTAAATGTCAGCTAACTTAATTTTCATACATTGTTATATAGCACTTTTTTTATATCTAAAGATAAAATAATTTTTAAGCACTTTATATATATTAAAAAAAAAAAAAAAAAAAAAACATTACCTTTATTGTCCATTGATTCTATTTTTACAAAAAATAAATCATCCGTAGTATCATTTTCTTCATCACTTAAAAAAATAACATTCCGTCCATGCATGTTTTTATTTGACATGTTTACTATTAAACAATTGATCTAAACGCTGTTTAATTACTTGTTGGATAAAACGTGAGCAACAAGTGAATTAAAAATTTGAATATTGTTTAATAATTTAATTTCGACTTCAATTTGGAGTTAAATTACACTGAAAGCTAATTTAAAATTAAATTTGTATATTTTTTAAACATGAGTCACTCAAAAATTTATTGATAATATAAAAAGTGACCGCATAATTAATACTTTAACGTCAACATTTTTATTATTTTGTTTACACATTTATTAGAGTAATATAAATTATCAAAAATTGTATTATAAATGATAAGCAAAGAAAAGTTTACACCAAATTGAGGTTAACAATTTTATTATAAATTTTTCTACAGGTACTATATGTAATTTTTTGACGTTTAATGAAAAGCGGCTTTAGGCTGCATCTTTTTTTACTTCTCGTCAGCTGGTTAGTAAGCTAACCTATTTATCATTTGGACAATCTATAGTTAGTTATGTTAGTTAGTCTTAATTATGACGTCTTGAATATAAACAATGTTTTCCTACATAAAACGACAGTTATGAATACTTTTAAAACATAAATTAATTTACTAATAATAAAAAAATTGTTTCTCATCGGAAAGAACAATGACTTCAAATTCACAAAAAATTATACGAATTTTATCTAATCTTGATACTGGTAAATTAAAAATAGATCAAAAGGTAATTCATTACATTAATATAATTTATATTTATTAAATAACTAAGAACAAACAAAAGTTGAATTAATTTTTTTTCACCTTTAGTATAAAAAAACTTCAATTGAAAATTAATTTTAATAAAGATTAATTTAGCAGATATTTTATAATTTTTTTAACAAATAAATTATGGCAAAAAAAATTTATAAAAAAAACTGACATTTAGAAATTTTAATAAATTAAATTTTTTGAAAATTTCAATTTGTTGAAGAAAATTAAAAAATTGTGAACTGACAGCTAAATTTAATATCATTAATTTTAACTTAGATTTTTGTTTTCAATTGTCGTAGAGGTTAAGCCAAATTATTTTGATGAAATAAAATTAAAATTTCAATAATAATCTGCTTGTTTTTTATAACACTAAAAATCAGCTGACATTTGAAAATTTTTTTATTTTTATAAAAAAAAAAATTTTTTGAAAGTTTGCACTTGTAATTTTTTTTAATATCTAGATGTGGAATTCTTTTATTAAAATTTTTCCATTTAAATTTAGTTGTTCCAAAAATTAAAAAAAATATTGACATGTCTGTCAACTTAAGTGTCATTTTTTAAATGATTTTAATGTCAATAATTTAAAAATATTACAGGAAAGTATCAGTGAGCTATTAATTGAACTGGAAGATGAAGCAGCAAGGAAGGAAATCACAGAAAATTCATTTTCGGAAACACATGATGGGCATATGAAATTAACATGGCACAGTTTATTTATAAAATGCCATGAATTTGTTTTGAACGTAAGTAAAATTTATTAATTTAATAATTAATCTTTAATTAAATCTGGAAAACTTTTAGGTAGCAAAAAAGGCGAAAGTTCCTAAAAGCGACATAGTTCAAACTTCTTTTTGTCTTTTGATCTCAGACATCGTCCGCTATGCCATCACACCATCAGTAGTATATTTACATACTAATGATTTCGTAGCCTGTATTATTCAAGTTCTAGAGAATGAACACTTCGTTCATCTTCATGATACTTATCTACGATTGGCGACTTACGTCGTTTCAAATCGACATTACAGAACTTCATTGTCTTTTGATGATTGGAGAAAATTTTTTAAAATTTTCATCAAAATGTACGATAAGTCGTATATAAGTGACCAATGTAATATTTTACAAAATTTGGAGCATACAGTACGTTTTGGATGCTTACAGTGTAATTTACTCCATTTCATCAAGGGGAAAATATTACCTTTCCTACGTAAGTAATACTTTTTATATAATTATAAGGAGTAACTAGATATCATTAATTTTTTTAATGTAAAATTTATTGACATATTTAAATTTGTACATCAGTTCTTGCAATTGCATTATTGTAAGTGCTACTGTAATTTAATATATTATACGTTTACAATTCCTCGCGAGTTTTGCTTAATTTATTTATTTTTATTTTTTTATTATTACGATAAAAAAAAAAATTTGAAAATTGGATTTTTGACAGACTTTGAAACGAAAAAGAGTTCGAATTTTATTTCTTTTTTTGTCAGCTTTTTAATACAAAAAAAATTAGAAGTTTTAAAAAAGTTCTATCTCTTCATTGGTCTTTACAAAAAAAAATGCTGAAAAATCAGGGCGTCAAACCAGAAGGCTCTCTCAAAAAATCTAAATAAATATAAGTTATACCTTCAGTTGGACAATTAAAAGAAGTAGAAAATATGTTATGCTAAACTATATTAAGAAAATAATTATTTAATTTCAGTAAAAGTATCAAATGATGTTAGAAAAAATTCAGTTCAATTTGGACAACAGGCTCATAAATTATTCTATGCAGTATGCGAGCAAATGGGGTATGAAAATCGTAAAGTATTATGTGAATTTAGTGAAAAAATAATGCCTCGTATGCTTGACGATCAATTGACGGAAGAAAAATGTAAATTAATTCTGCTATTTATCACATTACATCATCCAAATGGTGCCATATCTAGCAATCCAGCTGCTTATGCATTTGAACTATCAAAATGGAAAAGTATCATGATTAACCTTTATACTTACATATTACAAAACATGAAAAGCATAGCGATAACAACGAATTTTAGTACATTAGCCAGTGAAGTTTTTTACCTCATTATGATGGATCATAATTTCTACGAAGAAGAAACAAATTTAAATGACAGTGAATCATCAAGAAGGGTCAAGCGGAGACGTTTGTCAATTTTAAAAAAACCAATTGATTTATTTAATATTGAGTATATCAATGATGATGTTATTAGTCAATGGTATGTTGTTGAAATTCTTACGGTTATGGTCAGAAAATATCCTGGTTGTATTTTGAATGGTGATGATTTCATAACATTGATGAAAATACTGAGTAAATTATTTGCTGAAGCAATAAAAAATGAAAAAATAATACACTGCTTATGTGAGCTTTGCAAGATATTATTAATGACGGAAAATATAACTTCTGATGATAAAAAATTTATTCAAGAAACTAAAAAATATTGGGAAAAAATTTGGCACACATTATTGAAAATTCTGTGTTTAGAACAAAATGTTATAGAAGGACACAAATTGTTACAATTGATAATTACTTACGTGGGAATTATTAATTTAAATGAATTTATATGTCTTTATATTACTAATCAAATACGATGGACACCGTCATCTGTCTATACTTTTTATATCTTTTCACAAAACGCCCACATTCCAGAATACATAGGAGAAATTCAATCAAGTTCTGGCGAATCAGTTAAAATGAGAATTTTACAATGGATTTTAAAATTTTCATCACACACAACAATAACACCTTTAACTGTAACAGCTGTAAATAATGTCCTTACTAATTTAGTGCTCAAAATATGGTACAAAAAAAATTCTAAAAATTCATTATATGAAAGTGGAATTAGTAATAATATATTTTTGATCGAAAGCGAACAAAAATTTATCGATGATATAACAAAATGTTACATCACTGCCGCGTTTGAAATTGACTTGTTTAAAGAACAGAGTTTTGATTTAAATGCCGATTCGACAAAAAAACTTGTAAAGCCTCTGTTTTCCGAAGAAATTTTGGAATCTACTGTAATAAAATTATGCGAGTCAATAAATTTTACCGAAGATGTTTTAAGAAATACTGATAATGCAATTTTAAAATTAGCTATCGTTGCTAAATTTACGTCAAATTTATTAGAATTAAATGAATGCATTATAAATCAACCTATTCAAGCATTATTAGATGCACTAAAACAATCTCTCAGTAGTGTTTATAACTTTATAGCGACTGACAATTTACTTAATCGTGAAAATCACGTCATACCTTTAATAAAAGCCTTTATTACACTTTATGAAACTCCATATAATAACATCATTACAAAATTAATTGTGGATCAATGCCCGCAGCAAATTTTAATTGGATTTTTTGATATAATCAACTATGAGAACACTAATGAGCCAAACGGATTGGATGAATTGGGAATTAAATACTATGAACATATTTTTAAGCTGCAAGATAGTGTTAAAAAATCACAAAAATATTGCAAGCCGCTCAGTTACTCAATTAAAGTATTTGACAATGATGTAATAACAATAGCGGCTCATCATGCTGTTAGAGCATTTATGTGTATGAACACGAATGAAAAAATATCGGAAATTCAAAAAAAAATTCTGGCTAATTTACTTAAAGTTGAAATTTATGCACCGACTGTAGTTGGAAATTTATGGCAAAGTTTGGTATTTTTAAAGAGGCTAATACAATGTAAAAGAAGTTTTTATTCCGATGAATTGATAATTGATTTAACAAAATTTATTAATAAATTATTTCACAAGTGGGAGTACGATCCAAATGCTATTAAAAGTATTTTTGAATTCTTGCCATTTATTTACGAATATATTTTGGATGTTGAGACAAGCGTACAGCATATCAATGAAATAATTCTCTACACTCACAATCAATTAAATAATAAATTTGGACCGGGTGTAAGTTTTAGTTTTCTTAATTTTTTGAGTAAAATTATTAAATTAGTTCCTCAAAAACAATTATCAATAATTGACTCAAAACAACAGACTAAATCTATTGCTGAAATTATTCTCATCTACTTAAAAAGTCCTTATTATATTGTGCGACTTGAGGCTATAAAAATAATCTACTATATATTTTCTACTCCAGAAATTGATTTGTTGTTAAAAAAAAATATATTCAAGGCTATTAACACAATTCAATCTAATATATTTATAATTGATAATGATGTGACAGATATTTGGAAGGAAGATGAATTTATAAATAGAACTACAACAGCGTTGTATACTTTTGGAAGTATATTACGTGGAAGTGGTTTATATCAA